GGCACCTGTGGCTCTTATTCCTTTCCTAAGTTTCAGCAATTTTCTCTCAAAATCTAGCAGTCACTTAAGTTCTTTTGACTCCAAAGCAGAGGCATCATATGACTTAAGAAGGAAATATTTCAATAAGAATTGCAGAAAATATTGCCTACTTCCAGGATGGGTCCTGTTTCCAATATAGCAAGTTTGAAATTTTCCTTCTGGAAATTATTGCCTAAAGTTGGAAAAGAACACTAATACTGTTAAAATAGGAGAAAATCAGAGTAGAAGGGGGCTTGGAACCTCACAGTTGCCACAGAGGCTGAGTGCAAGAAGATCAATTGAATCCTTAAGGTTCATCCAGCCTAGGTAATTTGGTGAGACATTGGCTCACAGGAATCAATCAATAAGAAAGGAAGAATTAGTTCAACCACTAACAGCTATGGAACATTTACTCTGTGCCTAGCATTTTTCTGAGTATGCTGCTAATTTTAAATGATTAATCCTGTGGGTCAATTCTATTAGTGAATGGTTAAGGACTTATTATTGCTATGTAAAAGCAAGTTTCTCTTTGTAAAAACAAGAAATTAACACAACCATCTATTTAAAAATATATTGCCTCATCAATCCGAGAAAACATTTGTGTTAATTTTTAAGTATAAAAACATAGTGTGCTAGATATATGGTTCAGTGTTAGGACATTTACCTAGCACGTGCAATGCCCCCGTGCTTAAGCCATAGAAGAAGAAAAGTCAAAACAGAAAAAATATCAACAACAGCAACAAAAAAGCCAAAAAGTAGCTTAGCATGACAGCACACGGCTTTAAATTGAGCACTCAGGAGGCAGAGGCAGGCAGATCTCTGTGAGTTAGAGGCCAGCCTGGTCTCCAGAGAGAAGCCCAGGATAGCCAAGGATACACAGAGAAACCCTATCTTGAAAAATTAAAGATAAGTCAATTAATAAAACTAGTAACTTCAGTTTGTAATACTCAAAACAAACAAATTATTAATTACCACCTGCCTTTGAAGATTATTTACAATGTTGGGAGCCTTTTCTGTCTTACATATATTCTTGAAAATTAATAGAGACTGATTTTGTTTGTATCTTAGTTTATCTTTTTAAAAAGATTTATTTATTTTACATATATTAGTGCTCTATCTATAGGTCACTTGCATGCCAGAAGAGGGCACCAGATTTCATTTTAGATGGTTATGAGCTATCATGTGGTTTCTGGGAATTAAACTCAGAACCTCTGCAAGAGCAGACAATGCTCTTAACCACTGAGCCCTCTTCTCCAGCCCTTGTGGCTTAGTTTATGCTGAATACTTCTTTAAACTATAATCCGCATTTAAAAATAAAAAAAAAAGAAACCAAACCTAGCATGTGAGAAAATGTTTCTTTCTCTTTCCTTATGCTGACAAGATTTACAGTCTCTGTTTCTTGGGTAGTTAAGCCATAGTTCAATTTTCTTTGACAACTTGCAAGGTGTTAAATAAGCAATGGTTTAATGAGCATGAACAGCTATTTCAATGTCTCCCTTTCTTCTAGCAGTCATAGCAACAACATTCTGATAGTTTATGTGGGTTACTTTACCATCACATTGATGTCTTTGGATACCAGAAGAAGGCGTTGAATTTCTTGAAACTGGAGTCACAGATGTTTGGGTGATGGGAAACAAACCTGAGACCTCTGAAAGTGCAGTCGGTGCTGCTGATTCATTTCTCCAGTCCCCAATTCGAGTGTCTTAATTAGCAGGGGACTAACTAAAAGAGGTTTCTCACCCTCTAGGCAATGCTGATCAACTCCCTTTCTTTTTCAGGACTCCATACATGCTTGTTTTAAATTGATGTAGGGCATAGTGGTCACATTTTTAATTGCAGCACTTGAGGCAGAGGCAGGCAGACCTCTGGAACTTCAAGGTTAGCTTGGCAATATAGTCAGTTGCAGGACAGCCAGGGCTACACAGAGATATACTGCCTCAAACAAAAGTGAATGTAAATCCTTCTACTTCTAAAATATTACTTTGACCTAAAATGTTCTCCTTAATGTTTTAGAAAATGTATTCTTTTTTGTTTGTTTTATTTATGCTTATGAGTTCTGTCTTCCTGTACATCTACATAACATATGCAGGCATCAAATTTCATTATAGATGGTTATGAACCAATATATGGTTACTGGGAATTGAACTTAAGACTTCTGGAACAGCAACCAGTGACATTAACCACTGACCCATCTTTCTAGCCCCCTTCTTACTGTTTTATTCTAGAAAATCCTTGCTGTTACCCAAATAATTAGGCCTCTACTTTCAAAGAACAAATGAAGACAACTTCACCTTGTCACTTAAAAAGCCACTAAAAAATGTGGGGAAAGTGTAGTGTTTAAAATATACAAAAATGGAAAGTTTTTCTGAGATCATTTTCTTTGTAGACATGTTTATAATTTTGTCCTTAACATTACCAGTTTAGACTGTAGACTCTAACAACTTCCGCTGCTTCTTTTTAGTAATTACAAAACCAATCAGCCATAAGGTATATCTAAAGCAACCATAATTCACTCCTGCTCCGACCTGTTTTAAATTCAAAGCGACACATGCAAGTTACATGAGGAGACATGCAAGTACTCAAATCACAAATCATTTGTAACTTACTATTGAACTCAGAATTCAAAGCAAAAGGCTTTGGCCATAACTGGAGACAGAAATGATGGGAGGAAATCAGTTTTTCAAAACGAAAATGGTAAGAACTATATAATTATAATAATGACCTGAGCCTGTAGTTTTCAAACAGTAAAGACCTCCCCTCCACCACCCCTGACAACTGATTATGTAATCTATTTGGTTTTAAAAAAATATTATACACACACACACACACACACACACACACACACACACATACACACACACACACACACACACACATATATATATATATATATATATTTTTTTTTTTTTTCCTGTGCATTGATGCTTTTTGCCTATACGTATGTCTGTGTGAGGGAATCGATCCTGGAGTTATAGACAGTTGTTAGCTGCATGTGGGTAGTGGGAATTAAACTTGGGTCCTCTGTAAGAGCAATCAGTACTCAACCATGAGCCATCTCTCTAGCCCTATACGGTCTATTTATTTCCTGACCATATGGTGTATTCTTTTAGTTAGTTCTAATGAGAGGGAACATATCTGAGTCTCATTCATCATAGTGAATCATGGTAACTGGTAGGAGCATATGTTATAAAGGCAGCTAGCTATCTTGGTGCCAAGATAAAATATAGAAAAGGAAGACAGGCATGCTGGGATCTTGGTGACAAATATGAAGCATTAATTACTAGTTTGTAATTGAAAACAATGTATCTTGAAAACAATGCCTAATAATATCTAGTCAGATTCATATTTAAATTAACCACAAATCCTCAAGCAGTATCTTATGCTCCTGTAATCCCAGCACTAGGGATGCTGAGGCAGGAAGAAATCACAAATTGGAGGCCAGTCTGAGCTACATAGCTACAGCTAGTCTTAAAAATCAAGTCAATGAATAAATAGTAACATCCCTAAAACCTTAGGGTAGAGCAGGTATGGTAGTACATGCCTTTCACCCTCAGTTCTGTGGATGCTGAGGCAGGATGATCATGACATTAAAGTCAGACTGTCACGATAGATAGATAGATAGATAGATAGATAGATAGATAGATAGATAGATAGATAGATAGATAAACCCTAAGCTAAACAAAAGCAAAACCCAAAACACGCATTTTTCCCCCTTTAGGCAGGTCTCGATTTGCAGCCATGGATAGCCTGGAATTTGCCATATAGACCAAGCTGGCCTTGAACTCACATAGGTCTACCTGTTTCTGCTGAGATTAAAGTTATGTACCACCATGTCAGCCTTCAGGGTGCTTTTTTTAAAAAATTATTCCTCTCCCCCTGCCAAGACAGTATCTTTGTGTAGATTTGGCTGTCCTATAACTAGTTCTGTAGACCAGGCCTTGAACTCACAAAGATCTGCCTGCCTCTGCCTCCTAGGTGCTGGGATTAAAGGACTGCACAGTGCCCTGAATTATTGGTTGTGCCCCACTTATGTGCCTGAGGAAGTCAGAAGAGGGTGCCAGATACTGAGCAACTGGAATTACAAACAATAACAAGCTGCCACGTGGGTCCTGTGACTTGAACCTAGGTCCTCTGGAAAAGCAACCAATACTCTTAATTGTTGAGCTATCTTTCTAGCCCCTTAGGGGTGTTCTTAAATGAGAAAAGAAGGGACAGCTATTTAAGAAGACATCTTTCAATAATTTGTTAACCAATCTAGACTGAAAATCTGTAAGTCAATAAAATCTGTACTGTAATTGCTGACAGCTAAAATTGTTAGATCTTGACTTAAAACAAACAAACAAAAAAACACTTGCTGTCACACATCCTGCAGGCACTGAGCTAAATGCTTACAGGGAGAAGCATTAGGAAATCAGCCACGAACCTTGAGGCATGTTTGATGATACTAGACAGGAAAACAAAATTGTAAATGCTTCTCCCAACTGACTAAAATGACATCCTTCTAGCTTTTAATTATCAAGATGATTGCCCTGGAGAAAATGGTACAGTTACATACCACTAGTACAAGGTTTAGAAGACCTCTTTTAATCAGAAAGTTGAGCTCAGGAAGCTTCTAAGACTGAGTCATATGATATCATTAAACTTGTGCAGCAAGCTCTTCTCTATGGGGGAGAGAAAGAATTCCTCAAAAATGTTATTTAACACCTTGAAAGATGCCATCATTATGCCCCAAAGGAGATTGTTTCTGCCCACCATGACTGTTGTGCTATAGCTTTGTTTCTGTCAATGTGACTTTAAAAAAAGATTTTGTTAAGATATTCTAAATGGTTTTTTTTTTAATTTAGTGGTCAGAATGACAAAAATGTTGGTAGGTAGCAGAGTATTAACATGATATATTCAACACAATGTTATTTACATTTTAAGATTCCCACTAGACAATGAAACAATGATTTCGAACAATGACAGATTTTTCACATACTTACATAAACAAATTCATTAAAGCTTATCTTGCCATCTTTATTTCTGTCTCCATCCAGCATGAGTTTTTGAATAATTTCTCTCACTTTATATCCAGGCAATGGCATATTAGCTTCCTTGAAGAGTTCATGAAGCTCATAGTCGCAAATAAATCCATTGCTGTTGAGATCTTCATGAAAAGGAAGGAAAAACCAGGCAAAGAAAAAAAAAAAAAGATAAAACGGGAAAAAGATTAGAAATAAATTTGTAAGAATATTATCGTTTCACAATCCCACCTAATTACAATCTCTATTATTATTATTATTATTATTATTATTATTATTATTATTTGGAATCTATGGATGTTTGGAAGGGAAATGTATATTTTATCTGAATGGGAAATGTTTTGTTTATATCATGTATTTTAAACAATGTGTATAAGCTTTATTTAAAAATAGCATCCTTGATTATTAGAATGTATAGTGTCTTGTTAATAAAGCAATTACTAACTCATAGAACCAAGAAGAGTCTTTATACACCGACAAAACTTTGTCACGATATAACATAATTTCTACTGTGCCTATGCAGGAGTCTTCTCCTTATTCTTTTTTGTTTGCAAAAGAGGTTTTATGGTGTCTCTAAGCACATCTGACCTGAAGGAACAGCTTTCAGAGCCAATTTTTTTAGTTAATGTAAACAAATGTTAATCTAAGACAAATACAGAGTTCACAAGAATAAATGCAGTTCTGAGTAAAGCAGATGTTAAATATGACTCTATAAATGTTTTATTTTTGGGCTACTGCACTTTTAATACAATATGCAAAATGCTGATAAATGAATGATGCTTATTCAAAACTATGAAAATAGAGGCAAAACTGTCAACAAATGACTACATGTTGGCTGACTGAAAAAGCAAGCATATGTATGTGTGCATGTATGCATACATATGTATATGAATAAATGTTCACTTTCACAAGAAATATCAGTAGGTATATTAAAATCTAAAGGAAGAAATAATGTGCATTAATCAAATGACACATGATGATCATTTCATTATTAATGGAAATGTTTTGACTAGGGAATTTACTTAAAAGTCCTGCCACAGCAGGGCATGGTGGCACACACCTTTGATCCCAGCACTTTGGAGGCAGAAGCAGGCAGATTTCTGTGAATTCAAGGCTAGCCTGGTCTACATTGTGTGCAATAGGACTGCTAGGGCTACACAGAGAGACCCTGTCGCAAAAAGAAAAATAACAAAAATCCCTGCTGAGTACTGTTCTTAGAACCAAAGATGCTACAGAATGTCTTACACTTAGGGATCCCTCATTCTAACAACAATACTAACAGAGCAGCAAAATGTTCTGTAAGACACCAGACAATATAACAATACAAATATAACTTTGAGGAAGAAAACTGAAGCAGAGAAGAGAGATCAGCAGTTATTCCCTTGCCTGAGGCTGAAAAATTCAGAAATGTCTGAACAATTTTGCATGTGTTTGTGAGACAGAGTGTTACTATGTTGTCTTGGTTAGTCCAGGACTTGCAGTGAGTGACATGTGTTGATATTCCTGCCTCAGCCTTGTATGTACTGGGTTCTAGTCCTGCAGCCCCACACCCAGTTCTATCTGAAGATGGTTCTGATTACCACATCTCAATGGGTGAAAAGATGCTCCTGGCACCCAGTGGGTAGGGGCCAGGGACTCCATGAAATCTCCCACAGCACATTTGACACACCCTTGCTCCACTAGGTAACACAGAATACTGCAGCTCAAAATATAAACAGTGCAGAAGTTGAGCAACTCTGGGTTATAATGACAGTGTGGGGGCTGCTGCTTAGACAGAATGGTCAAAGACCGCCATTGTGCTGAGATTCTATTTGAATACAGACTTGTGTAAAGCAAAATAAGACATCTGGAATAAGAGATTGCAACTAGGTGAAAGAGGTAGTACAGTGTGTGTTGTAGATGTGCACGCAATGTGCTCTGGGAACAGCAGAGATCTAGCATGCCTCTATCACAGTGGGCAAAGGGGAAAGGGAGGTCATTCAATGGGTTTTATACATTCTTCTAGGCTGCAGTATATATTGTGGGTTTTTTTTTTTCCTGAAGTGTGAACTAAGTGTGACTCATAGCGGTTAATTTTGGGCAATGACTGAAATAGAAACTACTTTATGTCTGCACTTTTGTTTGGAGGTTTGTGTTTGAATCAGGGTCTCACTATCATAGTCTTTGCTGGCTTTCTACTTACAGTGATCCTCCTGCCTCTGTCTCTCCATGTGCTGGGATTATAGGCACATGCCACCAAACTCTGCAAAAATATTAACAATCTTATCTCATACTACTTCACCAATCAATTGAAGGTTAATGAATTTTTTTGTTGGTGGTAACAAGATCCTAAACCAGAGCAACTTGCTAGACAAGTGCTTTACCGTTATCAAAAGTTGTACACTTAGTCAAAAAGCTCATGAAATTCTGTGTTAAGTTGTAATGCAGGATCACTTTGCATTGCTATTGATTTCTACAGTTGTAAGAGCTGAACCAGCATTTTATGCATGCTATGTATAAGCTCTATCATGGGGTACCCAAGCTCTAAAGTCAAATGCTCTTAAATACTGTACTTAAAAAAAAAAGCTTATTTTGCATTTGAAAAGGTATTTTATCTGTGTCTCTGTGTTTATGTATACATGGGCATGAATACCATGGCAGAGGTCAGAACAGCTTGGAGGAGAAGTATTTCTCCTTACACCACATGGGTTCTGGGAATCAAATTCAGTTCACTGGCTTGGCAGCAAGTGCCTTTATTGGTGAGAAATTTCTCTAACTCTTATTTAATTTTATTGATTTTAGTGTGCATGTATTATAATTAGGAGTGAATTCTGGGACTTGTGCTTCCTAGGGAAGTACTCTACTATTGAGTTATTAACATATCTCCAGTCACCTTTATGGAGCCCACCCTTAGAGCTTCTGATCATTTTGCTGCAGCTTTCTAAAGATCTGAGATCACAGGCCAGCCTGATTAAGACCATGACAAGTTGAAAAATCTGTGGAAAGGCTGGGATGTAGAGGAATTTGTAGAGTGTTTGCTTATTAATGCATGAAGTCCTTGAGCCCAGTCTTTGTCATTCTATAAAACTGGACATGTGGGAGGCAGAGGCAGGTGGATCTCTGTGAATTTAAGGCCAGCCTGGTCTACAAAGAGAGTCCAGGACAGCCAGGGCTATTACAAATAGAAACCTTACATTGAAAAAAACAAAACAAAATAAAGAAAGAAAAAAAAAAACTGTATTGTTAAAGCATCCATCACAAGCTACTTGACA